AAAAATCACCCACTGAGGAAAGCAAATTCTTCTGCAGGATGTGAAGGGAAAACATGAGGGAAGGGTGAGTGAGAGTTTTGCTTTTCCTCTTACAGATCAAAGCGGTATAGCATATGCCAGGATAGCAAGTCAAGCTGTTGAGGACTTTCCATAGGACCTCTACAAGGTTTTATTTAAAAATAGTAAAAATTTTTATTTGGAAGGACTACAAAAGCTTTCCTGAGGGTTCATTAATGAAGTTTAACTGTCCGATTTGTATGTGAGCACTAGCGCAGAATCTCAGCTGAAAGCTCCTTGTTCCCAAACACTGAGTAACCCAAGGAATGTGAATTAACACAAACACAACCTTATCCTGCTGGGGGGGAGGAGGAGGAGGAAGGGGGACAAATATGTTAGATACCTGCCTGCCAAAGTCCCCAGGAAGTCAGTGGGAGCTTCACTAGTGGAAGAATAGCATGACCAGACATAAAGGAGAGCAGATGACAAGAAAGTATTTTTCACACATTTGTGTACTTAGGACCAATGAAGTCTAGTAAGTGCAGAGGGCAGGAACTCTACTACAATGAAACTCTTGGATATGCTGCTTTAGTGTACTTCCGTAGCTTTCTGTGGGACTCTATTTCCCCCTTTGCAGCCACTTATGAAAAATAAATTTGCAAAGTTGTCTGATGATGCAAAAAAGACAGTTCTAATGAGCTTTAAAGAAACGTCTCGCCAATTTAGGTGCACAATATCCATTGACATGCAGTGATATTCAGCTGCCTGATCAGATGCTTTTGACAATACTCCTGGATGCCTGCCTATCTTCATACACACTCAGTATTTCTACAAATCAGATCTTTTCCATCACCTTGTCTGTTACTCTGTTCAGACCTCCAGGAACCCGACTTTGCCTCTGGTACCCAAATGTGGATTCTTTAAGTTTACAAGAAGTATAACACCTTTATCTTACTAAGGTAGGTGTCTAAGGAAATCTGTGATTTGAAACAAGCTACCTTTTCTTATTACAGATATAGAATATGATGCAATTTTTTGGAAGTGTTCAATTTTTTTAGAAATAACTACATTTTTTAAGAAATTAGTGTCAGCCCCTATTGTTTTAACAAGAAACTGTTGACTATGTTGCACCAAAAGACAAAAGATTAGTGACCGAGAGCTTTGCTTTATCAAACTAAGCTTAGAAATAAACAAAATTTGCAGAGTTAGCTGATTTTGCCTGACATACACAAGTGCACTTCCAGTCTTCCCTGGCAGTCTACAATGAGATGAGATGTAATTTAGTATGAGTCAGGTCCGGGTGAAGCAAAACAGTCAAATGTACTTGTATTTGCAAGCAGTGTCCATCAAAATCCTCCAAGAATGGCTGGATTTGAGTAAATGCTGAGCTTTTCATAGACAGTTCCTAAACATTCACTGAATTAGCTTACCAGATAGAGCACAGAGAAATCTTGCTTTATACAGATATGCAGGTTTTCATTTAGTCTTTATATTCATAGACTGTATTCCTTTTACTTGCCCAAGTGTAACAGTATAATGGTTATGTAAACTAATGCTTACACTAAGATGTTATTTTGACATGCATTTTGGTGCCATATGTAAACACCAAACGTATATAATAACCACCCTTAGTACAGGTATCAATTCCATTTAAGAAGGGAATTTTTTGTGATTTTTTTTTTTTTTGTGGACAAAATGACCATGTGAATTTAGATTTTTGCATAACTGAAATACAGTTTGTAATTGAAAGTAGCGTACGCCATTAAAAGTGAGGTAACAGTGGATTTGTTGCCTGACTCTAATAATGATTGCTTTAATATACCATTCACTTGTTAATGCTGCTATCAATTATTTTACTGTAAATTAGCTTTTGTGAGTTTGAGGTCTTTTTGCAATGTCTGTGTTAGGTTACAGGACAATAAATCAAACTCCCATCTCTTTTTATATCCATAACCATAACATATGGCTTTTATTAGAAAATGTTAAGTGTCTTATAATGTCGTCTTAATGGACAGTGTGTGCATGTGTTGATGATGAAAGCCATCTTCTTCCATGCAAAATATTAATGCATATGGCCTACGTCTCCATAGATACAAGTTAAAGAATCATATTTAACCCACAAAATATTCAGTATACACTTTGCCCAGAATAAATATTTATCTAGTTTAACAATCCTTTAAGGAAATAACAAGTTAGAGATCAATCAGGAGCTGAAAATTCTAACAGGTATGCACATGTGATTGTGAATAAATGGTATATAATTCACTGAAACCCCCCCCCAAACAAACAAACCCAAATCACTTTGTAAAACACCTACTGCTAAATGAAAATACCCTTAGAGAATTAGAAAATGGAATCTATATCCTCCTAGAATTCCAGTTTGTGCATCACAAAGACTCCTAATATTGGTTATAGATTTTTGTCTTTCCACCTAAAATATCATAATGCCTCCGAGCTAGAGGGTGTTTTAGCCTCTGTATCCTTTTCCTTGGGACAACATTATCCCTTTGACTTTTGAACCACTCCGCAAAATCTTGGACAAGCACACAGCTTTGACTTGAAATGTGTTTTACCAACAGATTCCTGGGTACCAGAGAAATCTGCTATTCAACTCAACGCCTGCTAACACTGGGCTTGAATAATGGAAACCAAGCATTTTGAAGGATACCCGCCAGCCTTCCCTTTCTGTTTCCATGTTCCTTTGGCAGAAATCGGGGCTTTGAAAGCTGCAATACAACAGCAACACCTTTTCCTCTTATGGTAAATATTTTATTATTGCTTTATCCCCCACTCTGTATAAAGAAATTAATTTAAAATATGAACTCCTTTGTTCAGGGAAGAAGTCTCTAAAGGATATGCAAACAAGAATCTTTAGAAATGCAGCAAGATGTAACTCCAGGCTCTGCTCCAGCTTTCCCCATTCATTCAGTTTGCAGACCTGGTGTCTCCCTGCTGGAGATCTCTGCTCAGACGGAAAGTCTCCAGCAGCTGCTATTCCACCACCCATTCATACATGACCAGCTCCCTGCTCCCTGCATTTCCACTTCTCTTTCCTCCATCCATCCAATTTTCTCCCTAATCTGATCTCACTTCTTTGATCCTCCTCAGGAACACTGATCATCCTCCCCCACCAAAGCACCACTCATCCCTACCGAGGGCTAGCAACAATTAAGCTGCAACAAAGGTACATATAAGGGAGGAATAAAACCTATGCAAGCCAATTTCTTTGTGAAGGCACTATCCTTCATCTGTTTTCCTGCTTAATCAATATGGGTATCGTGGGGGTTAATCCTGCTGCTGTTCCTGAAGTAAATGTTTTCATTACTTTTGATTTCAGGAGCAGAATCGGGCCCTAATTAATGTAATTATCTTCATATGTCATAGAATGAAAGGTGTCTACTTAAAGGAGTCGGGCAACTGTTACAGACCATCTTTATCCACGGCTATGCTGTGAACTGCACCAGTGTGCATTCCCTTTCCAAAACAACCGCAGGCACCACGAGGGGAGGAGTTGTCCTTCAGTTCCAAGCAAGAAAGCTGTCAAACAGTGTCCCTTCAACATCAATGAAACCCTCTCCTCTGATTAATACTTTGCATTTCCCACAAGGGAAAATGACAGAGTGAGAAGGTAAGTGGGCAACTGAATTACCCATTCGCAGAGAAGCATGATCATAAATATTTAACTTGGTATGTATAAGAGAAAGGGACAGACTTCCTTTCCAGTCCAAGCTGAGAAACTCTCCAAATCCCCCGGTCCCCCAGGGACTGCCTGCTCCCATGATCATTTCTCCATCTCATAAAGGGATTAGGGATTAGCCATTAGCTCATAAAAGGGCCTGACAAGGTGTCTCTCTTTACTGAGGGATGACTGACTGTAAAAATCTATGCATAGAGGGAAATTACCTGGTATAATGGAGATCTCCCTGGCCCATGAATGGGACCCTGCCCCAAGCTGTGGAGTTTTAGGAGCCTGTTAGAAAATAAGGGTCTCTGGAAGCCCACATATGAGTACACAAGCTCATGCCTTGGTGTCCACTTGTGCCCCATGCATGAGGCCTGCTTGAGAGCGTGGGTTACATCCCCGTAGCCCCTGCATGATTTTTGTATGGCCACACACATGGATGGCTGCTCTGCTCTGACAGTGGAGATAACCCTGATGATGCTGGGAGAAAGTGGGACTGCAGGGAGGTTCGAGTGTTTTGATGAGGGTGCTGATTGCATAGCTTACCCTTGCATATCTGGAGGAGTAGGGATCCTCAAAGAGCGCCCAGATGCGGGGCTGCCACCGTCTCCAGAAGCCCCCAGACCTGCCATCTGGGGAGTCACTAAGTGCTAGGCGTTTTGTCATCTCCAGCTCATCTTCACCATCACCAGAGTCTCCGGTGCCATCTATGTCTCCGTCCTCAGCACTGCTATCCAGGGGCGCCCCACCAAAGCTGTCCAGAGCCTCTTCGGCGTCGCGGTGCTGCCGGTAGGTCATCCAACAGCAGGGCTCCACATCAGTCTCATCGATGCCCCAGAAGGCCAGCTCCTCCTCATACAGGGGCCCGCACACGTCCGCGGGGCAGTGCAGCTTGCCAGTGCGGTAGTAATTCAGGATGTGGGCGAAGACGCCCGGGTGCCGGTCGAAGAAAAACTCATCCGTGCGGGGGTCATAGTCGAAGTGGCTGTGGGCATCGGGCTCAGCGATCCAGGCCAGCCGCGTGCCGGGCAGGGTGCGCAGGGTGCTGCGGTAAGTCTGGTGCCTAGTCCCTCCCACGTTGATCACAATGCGGTCGCTCTCGTCGCCCTGGCCCATCTCGTCTCTTATTAGGCATGTCGCAGACTCATCCAAGCAAGCACGGCAGGCAGCAAGCCCGTAAGGCTGCTCGGCGGCAGTCGGTGCCTAAGCCGAGCCCCGCTCCGGGCCCGCGGGGGCGAGGGGCCCCGGCCAGCCCCGCTCCCCCGGGGCCGCTCCGAGGCGATGCCGGTGCCGGTGGCTCCCGGAGATGCGCCGCCTCCGTCTGGAGTCAGACGCTCGGGGTCCGCGGCAGCTGCAGCCGCGGCGGAGGGGCAGGGGCAGGGGGGGCCATGCTCCGGGAGCGCGGGCGCTGCGGTGCCGGAGGGGGAGGGCCCTCCCCTGGTTGGACGTGGCCAAAAGCACAGGCTAAAAAAAAAAAAAAAAAAAAAGAAAAAAAGAAAGAAAAAAAAAGGGGGGGAGGAAAATCGCGGCGCCGGCGCTGCCCACAGGTGCGCGGGGCTGCTGCGGGGGGCCGGTGCTGGCTGCAGCCGCCGCGGGGATACGGCGGGGCTGTGCCCGCGCCCCTCCCGGCGGTGCGGGGCGGGGGGCGCCGCCGGTGCTGAAGGGACAGCGCCGCGCTCCCGCCTCCGCCCCTCCGGCCCGGGTTGAGCGCTGCCGGTGCGGGCGGCGGGACCCGCGGCGCTGCCGCTGCTCCTCCCGCTGCCGCCGCCGCCGCTGCCGAGCGCTCGGTGCAGCCCGCCCGCCCGCCGGGCACCGCCGCGCAGGCGCCGCTCCCGCCCGGTCCTAGCGCCGGCCGCGCCCCCCCCGGCCCCGCCGCCCCTCGGCCGCCGCGTCCCGCGCTTCCCCCACCCGTGCCGCTGGGACGAGGATGTCTGCTCCGGTGCCCGCGGCTGGAAGGAGAGCGCCCTCCTCCCCCCACAGCTCACCTCCCGAGTCGCCGGCCTCCTTCCCGCAGCGGGGAGTCCCCACTGGGGGGGTCTCCTTCGCGTGTGCGGTGCTGCCCCGCGCTGCGCTCTGGGTGACCCTCTCAAGCACCACTGAAGTGAGTCACGGTTGTGCTCGTCCTGCCGGAACTGGACTCGCTGAAGGGCAAAACTCAAGATCAACCCAGGCATAAATTTCTCATATCACGGGCAGGGGTGCCCAGGAGTTGTCATTTCTTATCACGCTTTTACATGGTCCCACATATCTGCCCCACTTCTCCATCTTTTCTCCTGCTTTTCCTACTGTTCACTTGTTTCTTTCCTGACACTGTTGTTGGTAGGAAGTTGCAATTTGGGTTTGTGTTGTTTATTCTTTTTTTGTTCTCCTTCATTCACAATGAATGCCAAGGGACGTTTAAAAAAAAATCCGGTTCCTGGTTTGTGAGGAGCTTGAAGAACAGCAGGAAGATGGTTGTGTGGAAGGGAAGTGACAGAGGTATGTAGACACGTCCTGTGTTTTGTTTTATTTGCTGCCAGCATCTCAGGAGGAATGGACTTATGGGAGAGCCTGAAGAGCTGAGCCATTGTGGATTGATCATGGGAGGTCATGTCACGATGAATGGATAGAGTGGAGAAACATACAATTGAAGGGTACATGGTTAAGGAATACTGCTGGAGTGCAGAAGAGGTAGGGACAATACCATGCTTAACAGAAGAGTGTAGACTAGAGGAAGCCAGTTAGGTTGAGCTTTGAAGTAGGACAGAGATTTGGATGTATGGGAACAGTAGGTGAGGAACAAGTGGAGGGCTGTCAAAGAGCAAGTGGTGTGGTCAGGTTTGTGAGAAGAGGTGTTTGGCCACTCACAGCTTCTTTGGGTTGCAAAAGAGCACTGGGTTGCAAAAGAGCATTGCATGTTTGGGATGCAGAGAAGAAAACTTTGCAGTAGTTGTGGTAGGATATTCCAAAGGGGTCTAACCAGCAGTTTATCAGTGAAAATGGTAACAGATTAGTCTTGAAGCTGGTGGGGTAGAAGGAAGGCCTGGGACCTGGTGTGTGACTCTTGGGAAAGGGGAGAGAGGACACTAGGAATGGGAGTATGTTACTGTTGTCAGCAGCAGTGAAAGAGAAAAGGGAAAGTGAGGCTAAATCAAGGCAACTCTGCATTTTAGCTAGAAAAAACTGATGACAAAACCTCCACGAAGAGATGCCAGACAGCCACTTGAGCACTGGGACTGAACAGAGGCAGAAAGGTTGATGACAGAGGGAGAATATGAGAATCACAAGTACAGAAATGCTTTCTAAAGTCCTTGAGAATTGCCAGCTTGAGCGCACAGAGGGAGAAGAGGGTAGGTCTGTGAACCCAAGCCTGGCCTTAAGAAAGGAAATGAAGATGTTCACTCACTGATAGAAATCATACACACAGAAATTATTTTTTAATCATAGTAAGTCACTCCTTTTGATAATAATAGATCTGGGGATCAATGGGAAAGCACCGTGGAGTAGGTTTTGAGAGTTATGAAGGCTGAGGAAGGCAGGTAATCCAGGAAAGAAATTAAGGACCTCTAAATCCTAGTCTAGTGGGTCCTTCTGGTCACATCCACAACTCCAGAGGCTCTTTCCTGGCTCATTAGCTCCTGCCTCCCATGTTACCTTACCCCCCTGAATGATTCCTCTTTAGGAATTTCAGTGTTGGGAACTAAGGTGACTGTGGGGATGAAAGGGATATCATGCAGCTTCTGTTGCTTGGATTTCCCTTCTTGTCTGGGGAACTGAAAGAGAGTGGTACCGAATTTCAGAAGTCATCTGAAAGTATATATTAAAAGCTAAAAAGCTTGTTTAAAGATAGTTTTTATGGACTCAGGTGAGGAGGCCACGCTTAAGTGACCTGCAAGGTTTCTTTGAAGATACTAAAGCTGTAATTGAAAAAGGAGTGTTGGTAGAGACAGAAGAGTTGGATATTTCAAAAGACATATGAGAGGACCCCAAATCAGAGATTGATGGGCGAACAGGAGCTTGTGAGATCTGGAGCAAGGTAGCTACTGAAATAGAAGGTCTTTTAGAAATATAAATTGGAACGTGAAGTTTATACATTACTTTGTTGCAGAAGATGAAAGATATCATGTTTGAAGCTTATATTGAAGCTTGAGAGGGAAAGTATTGGAAAATAATATCTTTATTTAACAAGGATTGGGGCACAAAATAACTGCATATTAAGACACAAAGACTTTGCTTTGCATGGTAGACTATAGCATGATTTGCATTTGTTTGATTAGTGATAGCTGATACCACGAGATAGGTGGTTGTTGGTTTGCATGAAATGAAAGTTTTAAGACAGTCTAGCAGGTGCTGTGAGCAAAGTTTTGCTTTAAGCTTGCCATATAATGATATAAAATTCTAGTTTAATTTAAAAAAATAACTTTCTATAATTAGAAATGTTTGGACTATGACAGGTAACTAATTTTCCAAGATCTAATTTGCAGACAGAAAACTTCCATGGAAGTTTGGTTAATCCCAAACAATACAGTGGCACTTCTGTCCTTCTAGTCCCACTGAAAAATAACAGTATTATAACTGCTTTTTGTTCTGGTTTATGTTTGACGCCTTTAAATATTTAAACATCTGGTTTATGTTCAGCATCTTTAAGGAGGACTTAATGTGAAGGTGGATGTGTAAGTCCAGGAATTATCTAGTTTTTCTGTGATACCACTTGTCATTTTAAGTTAACTTAATAATTAACCTTACTAAGTTTTGCATGTTAAAAAGAACTAAACCAACTTTAATAGAGCTGGGAGCCCTCTGTAGGAGGCACAAAGTTAGTAGGTTATGCAAATAGTTCACAGTCAGTTTGGAAAAGGATTCTGGTATAGCAGCAGCAGCAGGTGGTGTTATCAGAATTTTTTAAAATGCATTAAAAGCTATTAGCCTTGGAAATACATTTTGTTTCCTGAGTTCATTTTAATAACTGGTGAGAGATTTTGATGATCATCTACACTGAGCTGGGGCTGGCTAAAACCTGGCATAAGTGGAGAAAATAAGCTGTAGAGTTTAGAAAGGTCTCTCTGAAGGCCTCCTTTGTGGGAGCCTTCTGAGAGGCCAGAGTTGCTCAGCTACTACCCAGGAGAGTATATATGCACTTAGAGCAGTCCTTAGTAATTTGGTCTACTTATAACCTTAGCTGTTCTTCTAAATCAACATATTTAGTGGTGACGGTGGAAGAATAACTTCAAGCCATAGATATTATTTAGTTTTTAAACTACTGTGCAGCAGAAAAAGAGAGCGAGTCCCCTTACTAATTTTATCACTCATGTTAGGTCACCTCACTGTCTCCTGTGTTCTGATGACACAGGAAGACTGAGTCCTTCTTTCACCTCTGTATCTGGTGTACTGGGATCACCTTTGCTGCCCTATACTTCAGCATCCCCAGGTAATCATATACAATGAAAGGCAGGTTGTCTTTTAGACAGAAGTCTAAATTCTGTCTACAAACTAAAAAATAGCTAGTGTGGGTTCACTGTTGTTAATCCTCCTATTCTCTACTTACTGCTTTAGCTGACAACTGCAGTGATTTCTATCTAACTCCAAAGGAGCTTTTTTCTCAATGTGTGAGATGACTGAGCATATATTCCCTAGCATTCCTAAACTTAGTAACTCATATATTTGAAGTGAAATTTTCATTTTTTAAAAATTGGTTATATTTTTCATGAAGACATTTTACCACTTACAGAAGATGCTGGATTGACAGAACTGCATAGGCACAAAGTTGCACATAAGGAACTGTATGCTTTGGTGCTTTGTTAGTGTATCAAGAGTACCTGATTCTAAACACCTCTTTAGCCTCTTCTTTCATAAAGGTTCCTGGTGAGGATACCAGCAACAGTGACAACTAACAAAGCTCTCACTCTTAAAATTTAAGCCTAGCTCTGAGTTCATCAGTCACTTTATCTTCAGAGAAAAATGTGTACCAATTGTAACAATTTGAAGAGGGGAAAAAGGATGTTGAGAGAACCTGTGACTTCGTGCACAACTCTGAATGCAACTGGAGAGCACATTCAAAATGCTTTTAAAGCTGGAGGAAGCTGAGAGGGAGAGAATTATTTGTAAGAATTATAAACTCAAAACAAAAGGCAGCCAGGGCTGGAACACCAGTTTTGCAATATATGAATGCTATAATTCAGCCTGTGCTCTCTTGCATTAAATTCATGACAACTCAACAGTATTTCAGTGCAGTTCTTTATCAGTTTTAGATTACATCATGCTGTGAATTGCTTTATCTGTTAACATTGATCATTGTAAATCATTTGGTTTGAGGTCTTCAAATGGAAAGCTGGGATGCATTTCAGCATGCAATGTACTCACTTTGTCCTTGAAAATCATTTGAAAATAAAGGAACTGCAATTGCACAGATGATATTACTTTCCTGAAAGGTTAGATTTACCCCTTTGAATTGTCATTAATTGGATTAAAGTCTTCCACAGAAAGAATGAGAATGAAGGAGAAAACTGTGGGTTGGTGCTTAATGTTGACTGCGGGAGTCATAGAGATGCTGCATGTCTGAAGAGCTGTGTAGCCCAAAGCCTGATGCAAAGAAGTCTTGATGCTTTTAATGAGAGTAACCAGAGCAGCGGAAGTAATGGCTAAATGCTAGTTCCTGAACTTTTATATCTAGATTTTTCATTCTTAATTACTTCACTTTTGCTTGAATATGTACTTCATGTTCATCCATGTTCTTCAACTGTTGCATGGCTTTGCTTTGAGCTGAGAAGTATTTACTGTGCTCTGCCTGCTGAGTTGCATTTGTTTTTCATCCATTTGTATTGGGCTGACATTTCCAAGTGAAGGTTCTTTTTGATCTGCAAATTCCTTTGGGATCCTTCAGAAAGTGCATATCAAATTGTGAGATAAATGGAAGTTGCTCTGGAAAAAAATGGAAGTAATATTGTGACATGATAGAGATCATCATTGGTCTTTACTCACTCCATTAACTGAGAGAAACTCCCACCTGAATTCATTTGGTTTTGCTGAAAATTTATGGGAGACAGAACTGAGCAGATAAAATGATGAGAATGGTGCACACGAGCAAGGCAAGGTGGTGGAAGGAGTGGGAAGGAGTGTTCTGCTGCTTGCTAAAGGACTAGAAGTGTTTCCAAACTGTCTTTCCTGTAGGGAAAGAGAATATTGCTTCTTTCTGGCAAAAAGGGCAGTGAGCACTGTAAACAACTGTTGAGTTTTCTGTCTCACCCCCAGCACGTGCTTGAATCCAGCATGTAGCTGGAATGGGTCAGACACTGTGCTTCTCTTGGAGCACATCCTCTAGTCAAGGCTGTAGTAAAATTGTCGGGATTTGTGTTTGATGAGGCATTCCCCAAAACAGAAATAATTGTTTCTCAAGAAATCATGGGGCTAAATCACCGCAAAATCTATTTTAAGTATCTGAAATCAGGCACACAGCTTGGCTAATGTGCCACTTTGTTACAATGTGGACTTAAAGGAAGGGTATAGATTTGTCTCTTGTCTTCTTCCTGCTGATCTAGGTGTGATCCAGCAAAAAAAGGCAGCTGGTGATCAGGAAAATTCAGCTTACACAGTTGGAATTTTTGTGGCAGCGCATAACAAAACATACTTATGGAAGCTGGTAAACGTGTGTTACTATGAGCTGAGAGCAGCCATCCTGAGGGCTTGGGTCTGCATTTCTGAAAGAGCACACATAGGTCTGAGCTATTTAACTCCTAACATGTACTGTGACTAGAGTTTCAGAAAGGGCTAGGGATTTGGCTTTATTTTATTAGATGATTTGTTTTGGGGAGGCCTAAAAGGTCCTTGAGTTTTTTAGGCTGACCTAGGCAGCTTTTTCTGAAAACAAAACTCTACTAATGCTGTCATTATGTTTTTAAAAGCTCAGCCAATTTGCAGGTGCATGAACATAGCAACAGACACAAACACATAGATACAGACATATGTATTTCACATCTACTATATACAGAATACAGAACAGGAGGTGCTAGTCTTTTCTTGAAAAAAGCATGCACTTCTCAGTGCTGCAAGTGTATCTTTTTCATTTAACCAGGAAAAAAAATAAATATTAATGTCTGTTTCTGACCGAGCAGTATGGAACATTCTCTATTTTATACAATGTGTGTGCTTGCCCATCAGCTGACTATTTCTCTAATAATTAGAAAATTTCTTTCTTCACTTTTTAAATTGAAATTAGAACTTTGTTTTTGTGTAATGATTCACTTTTCACAGCTGTTATTACTTCTTCAGCCTACTCTGAGTTCACAATAGTAACTGAAATGTTCTCAGAAAAGCAGATGGGAAAATGGCCTGTAAATCTTTATTGTTATAAACGATTTGTAAAACTTTAGATGTTGAAAGGCAAGAGTAGTTTAAATAAATCTCAACAATGCTGACTCAAAGTTTAAAGCATTACTTAAATCCCTTGATTAACCCAGCTTCTCAATATTTGACATGAATCAATAACTCTGAGATGTCTTTGCTGTTCTTTAGCTTTGTAAATATTTACGCAGCCAGTCCCGTGAAATGTGACATTTAATCCTGTTGAAGTAATTATTTGTATGCTGCATACGAAGAGATATAAAGTATAATAGTTCCAGTGATGCTAGTTAAATAATTGGCACTGGAGATGAAATCTGCTGCATTTCTTTTGTCAGTAACCAGGATTTATACAATATAAGTGTGAGTGAATGGAAAGCAGAATCCACCTTCTGTCACAAATCTTGGGCCAGCTGCTGGGAATGCAGATTTCCTGATCCTGTCTCATGCCTAGGCCTGTGGCTCAGCATTAACAGCAGCCTTTTGTTCCAGTTAAATGAGGTGTTGAGAGCTAGATTAAAGGAAAGAGTGAAGGGATAGCACCTCTATCAGCTTGTCCTCACCCTTCTCTTGCTGGCATAAACTATAATGAATGGTATCTGTTCTCCAGAAAGCAGGAAGATGCTCTACCCAGAGTTTTCAGGACCTGGGAAAGCGTTCTATAGGAGCCTCAGTGCAAAAGGGTTGTCCCATCCCTCCAGATTGTGACCTGGTAACGTATTACATTTGCAGCAGGCTTGTATTTAAATGGTTTAGGTTAAGAAGCATAGTGATATGTTTGTTCCCAAGAGACTGCATTTTAGTCATTGTTTACTGACTCAGTCTGATTCATCTGTGGATTCTGCCACGTTCTGCAGTTGTAGTCTTTGCCTCTAGGTAGACAGTAGAAGGGACTGGGGAATAACAAGGAAGCAGAGGAAGATCACAATGGGACAAGATATTCAGAGCTGGCAACAAGAAATCAAAGTGGGTCTTCCTTCAGTTATGCTCCATTGTCATGCAAAACTGGACCTTTCTGTTTTTCTAGGATGGATTCTCATCCTATAAGACAGCCTGCAATAGCATGTTCACTGGCTTTCCTATGAAGGAATGAGAGAAAAGTGGTGTCCAGTTCTCAAATCCAAAGCAAAGGCCTTTTTTTTTCTTTGTAATTTGTCATACTGTAATAAAAAATAAGATAGATTTCTACAGGTTCTTTTAAAATTGTTCTCCAGCTTATAGTCATCCTGCCTGTTAAAAAGTGGAGAAAAAGATTGCCCATGCAGTAGTAATTCAGGATGTGGGCAAAGATGCTTTTTGTTTGCTTTATCATGCCAAACCCCTTAAGAGCCCTTCATTATATGGAAAGATCTTCATGCAGAAGTACTACAGTGGTACTTCTGTGGCCCATTTTGGCTACTGCATAGTCCAAGCAGAGAGATGTGTGCTCCAAAGGACAGTGCACCACAGAAGAGGTGATGTGGGAAGTCAATGAAATTGCTGTCAGTTTTCCTGAGTGTCTGCTTCATGCAGTCCTTAGGAGGTGTTTTCGCCTATATATCCACAAATATGTATAATTCTGGTTAGGGCAAAATCCAGGTGATTGCATTTGGGTTACTAATGGAATTTTCTTCAGCTTTGTTTCCATGTTGTGTTGTATTGCTTGTCTTATTGAGTATTTCTCACCTCCCAGTCTAAGACTGAGTAGGATCTTCAGAATGCCGCTTATATTTAGGGATGTGCTTTGCAAGAAAAAACTAAAAAAGGATGTTTTGGCACACTAAAGTTTGAGTTTTCAGGCATACCTGTTTGGATGCCCAAGAGATTTGAGGACAATTTGGTCCAGTAGGAAATCAGGCTAGAGATGGTATATGAAAATATGAATTAAAACTTTCACAGATGAAAATATAAAAGTAATTATCTTTGTTAAGGAAAAGTAAAACCTTTTGCTTCACTCTGGTCAGTTAATATTAGTCTGTAGATATCAAGTTAACTAGTACATAAATAGCAATAGGATAATTTAATAGAGGAGCCTTATGCACATAGACATTTGCTCAGTCAACCAAAGTTCCTAAAGGCTCAGCTGCAAGTCTGGAAACCTAACCACTGGTGTCTAAAACAGAAAATGTCATTTTTTGTTTGTTTTTTTTTCCTACACTTTGTGTTTAACCACAAAAACAAACAAAAAAAGGCCACAGTTAATGGTCATGGAGTGCTTGAAGGGCATATGTCTTCCCTCATTACAAAGCAAAGATATGTCAGACATGTTTAGCTACAAAACATACACGCAGGAATCACTACGTACCTAGCAGGTGTGAGGATTAAGTGATCTGATCCATCTTTTCTGTATCTCTTTTTAATAATAATTATTTGTACTTTAAAGAAGGAATAACATTTTGTCATCCACATCTAGGAATAGGTGTTGGGGTTTTTTTTCCCTTTGATGCGCAACAGAACTCAGAATTCTTATGGCAAAAAAAGGCCAGAGAGCAGACGAGGTGAAATGACAGATTCGGGTAAAACATGAGCAGCCACCTCACAACAAGCAAGTTCATTGCGTGACAATCTTTCTGTACTTCCCCAGGGACTGAGCAGAACGGTTCAAGAAGGAGCAGATGGAAACAGCTGCCAACAGATGAGTACTGGAACAGATTCAAGCCACACTACTTGCTGGAATTTGAGAGTTTGTGATGGCCTGAGCTTACCCAATGACAGGTATCTAAGATTTAGAATCAGTTAGTTCTTAGCTATGGGGACCAGAAAACAACCACTATTGTGGAACAAAAGACATGTACAGGGTATTCTCTGAACAAACCACCAGAGATAATTGCTCACAGAAGTGCTGTGGTGAGAGGAATCTTTTAGGCTGTGGTTGCAGATAGTATTAAAGGTAAAAGAACACCATTAAAGTATATTTTGTGAATGTGTCTTATCTCATAATTCCTTCACTCAAAATGGTTGTTTCTCCTGACCTTGAGCTAAGACTTAACAGATAGGGAAAAGATAAATTTAGGAAATCCAGTGACACAATGCTGATACTTTCACGTCTTCTTGCATAATTTCTAGCATACCATGAAGAACAATAAATGGCCAAAGCTAAAGTGTCCTTGGCAAACAAACAAAATAGCACCCTGTGATATTTTTACCTTTGTTTCCTTTCACTACACACACTTTTTACTCCCACAGAGCTTGAAGTATTAACCCAGCATGTTAATTTATTTCTTCCAGAGTTGCCCTGACCGTTGCATTTAACATCTCTCTTGGAAGTACTTCAAACTAAATGGCTGGCTCCATCTCTTGCTTTGTTAATTAGGCACATTACTTTGTTGCTTATTTTCATATCGCTTAATGTAATTGGGATTTGTGAAGCTTTTGAAAAGCATGTTTGGGACTACATTTTGTGCAGCTGGCTTTCAAGTGCAAGCTGTTTCAAGTGTGTAGTTCTGTAGAGAACAGCTTTTGAGAGCGTAG